ATGGCATGGCATGCGGTGCAGGTGCCGTGGCCACTCTACGAAGTGCTGGCTTTTGTTGCTGAGCTTGTGGTTGCGGTCGCTGTCGTGGTGGTGAGTGTCCCAGTCCCACGGTCTTGCTGCGATTCATTGGGGATGTGGGCCTGGCCATTGGTGGAACTCCACGACTGGCATTTTCGTCGTCGGTTCGTTTGCGTCCCCTCGGAACCGCGTCAGTGGTTTGCGACCGTCGAAAATCGGCTGCTTTGTTTCGTGCCTGTTCGGCCGCTTTTCCAGCCGATTGTCGGACTTGTGCGCCTCTCTCTCGGGCCGATACAGCTGCTTTTCCCGCCGCTTTGGACGCGACTTTTCCGTATTCGCCAGCGGCTTTAGACGCAACTTTTCCGTATTCACCAGCAGCTTTCGAGGCGACTTTTCCGTATTCACCCGCGGCTTTGGACGCTACCTTACTGGCTTCACCAGCCGCCTTGCTGGCCTTTTCAGCGGCTTCTTTGGCCTTTTCCGCCGCTTCCTTGGCCATCTCCTTCGCCACGGTGGCAATACGATTCATGTTACGCCATTTGGAGCGTGCCTCTTGCTTTGCCTTGTAGTCTTCATCACAAAGTTCTTCATGTTCAATCATTTCTTCTCGGGTATCGGTATCATAATAACTACCAATGGTCTGCTGTTGTTCAATATCCACGCCTTTCTTGTTGGAATGCAAACTATAGGGCAAATCCCCAATGACCCCCGAGTAACAACAATCGACCAGCATGGTGCAATGAACCGCTTCGGGCAAGAACTTGATCAAATCCTTGAGAATATCATCGTCCATGATTTGTCCATTTTCCTTGTAGTCCGATGGCAAAATGTACAGATTATCTCCCAATCGCCCCCCGTGTCCGGTATACTGAATGAACAATACATCGTTGGGGTTGGACATGCGTACCATTTTGGAAAAGCCATCGAGGATGTTTTGTTTGGTGGATCGTTTGGACGATGCCGGAGCGTGTTGATCATCTCGCAATTGGATAATATCCTTGTCTTTGAATCCACAATGTTGTGTCAGAAAATGATGCACGTATTGAATATCATTGGGTGGTCCCTTGAGGTCGTGTCCTTCTCCCGACACGACGCAAATGAGGAGGGCCCGTCGGGTGCCGGTAAAACCCGGAGGAACAATGTAAAAGGGTGCAAACTGTCCTCCCTTTAACGCGGGTGGTCCCAAGGGTCGAGAGGACGAAATGACGGGATTGGCCTGTTGCAAGGAACTACATTGCTTGACACGAGATTGAATTTGTTGCAGAAGTTGCCGATAATTGTAGGGCTGCTTGTTGCTGTTGCCAGCGACGAGTCGTTTGGGATCTTCAAAGAACATTTGCAAGAGCGCACACGTTGCTAGTGATCCGGAATCACTGCGCGTATTGGGAATGTCGGGCAATTCGTATTTGCGTCTGGCCGAATCACTCTCTTGAGCTTGTGTGACATCGTCTTGACTGGCAATCAGGACAATCTCGGCAGGAATGGCACGAGCTACCTTGTTTTCAAAGAGATGATTGTCGCTGTGAGGAACTCCCAGTACCTTACGCAGTTCGCTCTTGACTTGTTCCGCCGCTTGTTCGAGGGACTCATACCCATACGACGCTCTCCTGGCAGGAACGGGAGAACCCGTGCCACGGTCCACATTTTCCGGAATGTGCTTGGGAAGCGTCTTCTTCTTGGTTACCTTGGTACCATCCAGATTGTACGACGTGGTGATGGTTGTTACCGTCCCGTCGCCATTGTCGTGAGTGGTAGTAGACGCTCGTCTCATTACATTCATCTTCAACATCTTGACTGGTTTAGGTGTGTTCTTTCTAATCTGCTGATCTTTCAAAGATGATGGTACCCTCTTGCGAGCTGAGATTGTTCTGATCTAATCTATTAGTACTCTATTCTACAAAGACCTGACTGATCTCTTGGTCTGAAGCACCGAATATCTTTCCGTTGCAAGGAGACAGTGAGCCAGAAGCGAATGATGAATGATATCTCTTCCTTCTTTCTTTGGTCGACACCTTTCTCGAATTGGAAAATTCGAAAAAGTGAACCCTACAAAAGATCTTTGGCTCGTGGCATGGTCATTGAAGCCTTGGGAAGGGAGTGACCGCGATTCGATGGTTCTCATCTTAGAGATGGAGTTTTGTGTGGCTTCCTCGTACAGTCCCAGCACCCAACCCGGGAACGTGGCTGTGAAAGGGGTTGAGACGGAAGCTGCAACAATGCCGCACTGTGGCTTCACATCAACCAAAAACTCATTTGAAAGGCCACAGGAAGCTTTGACATGCCGTGCCGGTACAGTACGAGGTAAAGAGTATCTTTGAGGCTAGCTAGTTACTTGCTTTTGTAGCTTGGGAGCAACATTTGCTCTTGATCCGGCTCTACGGTTTCATGGATGACAACTCGATCGTTACGCTGGATGGACAGTGCTATTTGCCCAATAATCCCATCTTTTGTGCACTCTTTCCCTCTCAGGGCCCATTCTCGTCTTCCAAGCCCAGGGGAGAAGCATCTGTGAATCTTGCAATGCGAATTACTCTTGTGGGAGCTCCGTGGAGACACCCATGCTTGAAATAACCAACACTTTGCCATCTGTCGTCATTGCAACTGATTTCCATCAACCCCCGGTTCCACGGTTCCAAACAGGCTTTTCCTCTGGTTCGCGAATAAAAAGTAGATTGTTATGCTTTGTGCATGGCCACAGTCTTCATCATTCTGGCTCTGGCTGGGCAAGGCTTGCTTCCCATAACAAGTTGTTTTGGGAGGATGTGGAATTGAGGCTTCCTCCATAACTCACCGAAAGAACCAGTCTTTACCATCCAGGGCATACGAATGACTATAGTGTGGTTTGCCAGCATGACGACAGCCTCTCATGACAGAAGCCATGTTGCCAGCATTGGAATTCCACGTACCCACCCAGTAGGTTGCATCAATCATCATGCTTAATTCCGCCAACAAGAGAATTGAGTCCTCGTGACCACTGGTCTCATATGCCAAGTTAGCTCCCCTGGCGACCGAGGGTATGAGTGTGTGCAACTGGCAATGGATTCCCTTTGATTGCAAAGCGTGTTGGAGTTCTCCCACCACTGAGTAATCATCGGATGCGACAAAGCAATGTTCCACAGGTTTCTTTGCGGCATCCGGGATCCTCTGGAGTTTATCAACGTAGTGATATGCTGTATATCTTTTCTTTGCTTCCTTTTCAAGTTTGTCACCTCTTCGAATGTGAAATGCAACCGAATGGGACTTTGTGAGATCTGGCATCTTGAGCGCTTCCTTCAGTTGATTGATTTCCGACAGTGCATGATCACTGAATTGTAAATTGTCACAGGCACAATCGGCAAAGCGTTGGTACACTTCAGGACCCACAGCTTCAAATCGTTTGCGAAAGGCTCTTCGTGCTGGTCCACTGGTGGACCACACAATAAAGAGTGGAGTTTTGTCGCTGGCCATTTCAATTTGCTTGCTGGATGTATAATCCGGCCATGTCTTGTTCTTGGAGGCATTGATTGCTTTTGATAATTCTCCACTCCAAACACTCGCTCAATGGTGGCATACTCATCCTTGTTGACCACAGGAAATTTTGGTCGGAAAAAGCCCCTCAGCACTCCTGTCTCCTCGTTCCCTCTGTATCCATAAATGGTGTCATCGACAATGAAGGTTCGATTGAGACTGCCAAAGTAAATATTTTGTGCCAGCATGTTCAGTATCTGGCTACCCAAACCAGAATTTTGGAGGAAAGTAATGACAATCTTGGGATTCTGTTGTTTCAACTGCTCCCAATCATTCGATACTTTGGGTACTTTGAACATACTGGAATTAAGAGGCATGGAAGATGTGGGTAGCACCAATTCTGGTGGCTGTGTAGACACCTCTGTGGTAGGTTTGACTTCGCCCTTGGGTGTGGGTAGCACTTCCGGTGGTTGAGTAGACAGAGTGGAGATACTGGTCTTTGGAGTTTCTTTGACTACTTCCCTTTGGGTACTAGAAGTTAGATTCTCATTTCTCTGGGTCTGATTTCCAACATGCATTACTGTGGTAGATGCTCTGTTGACTTCTCCTGTGGTGGCACTAAAGATTTTGGTTGAGATGCTCCCCAAGAAGTCATTTGGCTTCATCTCTGCCAATACAATGTTGTCCAGCATCACTGTCACCACCACAACCATCCCCCCCATTCCCAACAGAACGTCCGCCACCTTCATGTTCCTTTGTCCTTCTCCTGCTACCGGTACTCCAATGGTATTATCTCGATGGCTTCATTTTGCTCCAGGTACCCATACATGCTTACCGCGAACAAAAAAAATGAGTCTTCGATTGGTTGGAATGACTCGACTGAGGACTCTCCAAACTTGCTGGAATGGCGCCATCGTGGATCGTGGAACATCGCGAGGTGCAAAGTGCACGGTGCACCTTTCGAGCCGCCGCTCGAGATCCCGCAACCCTCCCATTAGAAGTTCAATACAATGCTCGAGCAGGCCAACGACGATAACCAAACCTTCACTCACACCAATCACCAAAGGCGCTGGTGCTGCCAAAGACGCCGCCAAATTGAGTGCGAAAGACAAATGATGGAAGAAAACAACCATATGCATGGCAATCCCGCCGAAGCCACTTCCACCACAGCTTTGACTACGGGCAGTGCAAGCACGCTTAGAGGAGCCATTGAGCTTCAGCCTTACGACGTCGTTGTAGGGGCTTCTTTGTCCGGTGTATCCTCTTCAGAAGGCGAGTCCGAGTCTTCAGGCTCTGAGTCTTCTGAATCAGATTCGGAAGACGAAGAGTCTGAAGCAGACGATTGGGAGGAGTCTGAGTCTGAAGACAATACGACTGGCGGCGCAAGATCCATTAGAGGAGCCATTGAGCTTCGGCTCCACGAAGGCGTTGTAGATGGGGCTTCTTTGTCCGGTGTATCGTCTTCAGAAGATGAGTCGGAAGACAATGAGACTGTTCCGGAGGAAGACAACGCCTCGAAAGGAGATGACGAGGATACCGGTGTCGTAGTAGGCACGAACAATCACGGGCAACGACGGTCAAGACGACACCCCAACAAGACAAAAGCTTTTGCCGACAAATACACCGGAGGGTTGCAGAGACAACGCAAACACAAAGATATTGATCCAAGCGCACATCGCGTGGCAGCACGTGCAACATGGCAATGGCTCCGCAAGAAAAGAATGGCATCTGTGCTAGACAGCAGCGAAGCACAAGTCGAAGATAGGGATGCGACAGATGATTCCGTTAGGGAGATCTTGCAGGACCAAAATGTTAGAGCTCCAACTGCAACCGCTGAGAATAGGCATAGACTATCTTTTGGTCCACGGCCAAGAACACAGGAGAAGAAAGACGAAGTAGCCAAGTCGAGTGATGCCCCAGTACAAGCCAGCAACATATCAGATGCCCCTGTTAGTGGTGATTTTGGTGCTTTGAGATGGGCCATGGGCATGAGCGCGTCAAAGCACTCTGCTGCGCCTCCGAGTACAAGTACAGAATACACAGCTCCAATCACAAGCACAGAAAACACAGATCCGCTTATAAGAACAGAGAGTATCCATACACAGCCTGTTGAC